CACCATTACTTCAAACAAGTTATACTTGAAGCCCGCCCTCTGAGAAATACTGAAAATATTGTTATAAATTGTAGCAACACCTCCCCCTTTATCTTTTGGACGTGGCTCATGTTTATAACATTAATCTTGGGGGATATACTCGTTTAAAATAATGCAATCATCAGGTTTTAGCCAGGTTTCTGTCAAACAGAGCACATCTAGTTTATGATCAGTGATCATATAATTTACAAAAAGTGCTTTCGTAGAAAGGGACCTGATATTCAATAAGCCAAGCTTTATCATGTGTTTATCTGTATTACATCTGTTTTTTATTTGTTGAACATCAATTTAATTGTTACTCTTAAATTGGTTTGGATGTTTTTTCTAGTTCGGGGAACAGACACAGTCTCTATAGTGTGATATCTAGGTGAAAGAGTCACTATGTGCTGAGAATTAACTGATTTCTGTGACGTGAGGTGGCTAGCAGACGGTCGGTTTAGCCAGTCTGTCTGCTTCCTGACCTGGGCCCCAGTTAGTCAAGTACAAACTCTAAGACTATGTGCCATATTTCAAGAGAGAAGAGCGGCTCCACCCCAGGAGGGATGAAGACCATCTCTTTTCAACAGGTCAGGTCTGCCCCAAAAACTCATCATATTACAGTGTCTGACATCGTACTTGCAAGTTCACACACCTCTTTAATGTTATTTTTAGTGATCTCCGACTGGTGAAGTCGAACATCATTAGCGCCGGCGTGAATAACAATCTTACTGAATTTTCGTTTAGCATTAGCCAGCACTTTTAAATTTGCCAAGATGTCAGGCGCTCTGGCTCCCGGTAAACATTGGACTATGGTGGCTGCTGTCTCTATTTTCACGTTCCGTACAATAGAATCGCCAATAACTGGAGCACTTTGATCAGGTTTCTCAGTGGGTGCATCACTGAGTGGTGAGAACCTGTTTGATCGGAACGGAAGAGCGGTGTTTTGACCTGCGACTATGCCTCCTCACTGTCACCCAGTTGCCCTGCTGCAGAGGCATTGTAACCGGAACTGAACAATGTACAGGACTCCCTGAGCTAATCGCATCCAAAGCCGTATCTAGAACCCTCACAGTCTTACTGTCCTCAATTAAAGTTTGGATGCGTGTCTCTAATTCTGAAATCTTCTCTGTCAGCCTAACTATTTCCCTGCATTTATCACATGTGAATCCCTCTTCGCCGACAGAGAGAGCTAAATTATACATGTGGCAAGCAGTGCAAACAACAATAGCAAGAGAAGCCATTATTCACCATGACTGATGAATGATTCTGACTTACCACTGTTGTTTGATGACAGTGGTAAGATACAATTATATGATTATGAATCATGGTGTGTCTGGTGGAGTCAAGATGCCCTCTCTGCTCTTTCTTGCTCTGTATTCTGTCTTTCATATTCTCCGGTTCTTCCTTGCTGCTCTCTTTTCCCTCTCTGAGAGATCTCCTATTTTCAGTATTTTTTTGCACTGAATGTCTTTTAAAAAGGTCTGCTTTTTCTTTTGAAGGTACTCTGCTCTTCGAACTGGGTCTGCATCTCTGCGCTGTCTATAAAGACACTGCTTTTCAGGAGCAGTTAATCTTGCCATACCTGACAAGAGAGATACAATTATAAGATTATGAATGTCCTATATGTTTTATTAAAAATACAAGATTTCTGTATACTGTCTGTGGTGTTAACAGGAAAGACAGTAAGACCACAGACAGTAACACCACAGACAAAT